TTGATATTGTCGTCAAATTTTATGATAATGGATTTTTCAAACTGTAAAATTGGTGTAAATCCTTTGGCAAATATATAAATAAGTAAATAAATACACAGTCTACAAAACATTTATACGTTAACAACGCCAAGCTTTAAAAAATCATGATGGTTTGCTAAAAAAAATCTTTCACTAATGTTTGATCATTTTCATAGGATAAACTAACATTTTGGAGTCCAGACAGAAAACGCAAAAATTATACAGTAAGACATCAATTAAATTTAATAAGAAATAAGGTGCAGCACTAACGATAACTATGGTTGTAAAATAGTGATGTGTTTGTACGTAAAAATGATTCTTACTGCTACCACCGGTTCTAAGGAAAAGTAGCAGTACTATAAACCAACGTTTACATTTATGAATAGAACTATAGTACTTAAGAACAATTCAAAGGGTCCATGTAATCAACCTGTATTATTTGTGTTAATCCGTTGGCAAATATATAAATAAATAAATACACAGGCCACAAAACATGTAACATTTATGTTAACAACGTAAAGCTTTAAAAACTCCCTATGGTTTTCTCAAAAACTTTCACTTGATGTGGTGCAGTACCGTAGTTATTATAATCGCACTTGGTTTTATTTTTTTTAAGTTTTCGTAAATCAAAATTATTTTCCATTAATAACATTATTTGTAATCAACTTCTAATGTTAACATGTTAATGACAGTTTGAACAAACCACCTTTATCCAAACAAAGGTTTCTTATAAAATATTATGTTATCTCTAATCGATAATCGATACATTTATCTAGCAAACATTCGGAGTAAATGTGACAGAAAACTCACAAATCTGGGGTTTTGGACGTTTGTAGTTTTACTTCCTAAGTAGAAAAGAATGTACCGATATCGTTGTCGAAATGTAAGTAAGTAGAAACAAAATATGACACTTTAGAAAAGCAAGTTTAGCTACATCTCTAAGTTAAACCTCTGTTACGATCACAGTGAAATCAGAAAGTTCTTCCAAGATCGCAGCAACATCCACGATCACCCGCTGCAGTTGTAATTTGTTACTTTGCACTTTACACAACTGTCCTTGAAGGGCCATGAATGAGTGCGGAAACCTTTTTGTTAGCATTGGTGAACACGATTTAAAAATTTTAAGTTTTCCAGCACTAATACAACACTGATTCACGGTATTTTCCCCGGTTATAAAAACTCAAGAACACTCGCTGCACTTGCGATTAATTAAACAGGTTAAGTAAGGCACAACGTTTCTAATCTCACTTGGTTTGGATGTGCTAACAAAACTTGATCGGAAATGGTTGCGGTATTTGTAAACAACTTTTAATGTAAACATATCAGTGACAGCTAGAAGTGAGAACTAATTCAAACAGCTGATCGTTATTTCATAAAATGTAATAGGAAACATTGGGAGAAAATTTGACAAAAATCAAACAAAATTGGGTTTTTGATGGTTCGTTATTTTGTTTTCAAAGAAGCGAGGCCATGTTTTTATAGCCCAAGACACTCTCACCAATCCAGTAAATACAGAAAAATGATTAGAACCTTGATCGGTACTCTAGTGTCCTAGGAGTAGGCCGCGTAAAATGACAATTTGGCGTTACAGACAGAGTCACAGAATGGACAGACAAACAGATATACAGACAGAAATTGAGATAAGACTCGTTTCGGCTTTCTTAGGCTATGAAACGTAAAAATAACCAAAAACTGCATGATTCTAAGCAATGTACAGACAAAACTGTAATTTAATTTATATAGATTTATAAGACACAATGCTGCATCAGAGATGGTGTTCAAAGCTGAAATAAAAGAGTAAACTTTAGAATTTGAACTGAATATTTCGGGAACTCGATATTTCATTTATTTTCATCCCAAGATGGATTTTAGACATATATACAATTATATAAATTTACGAAGTATCTCTCACCGGAAAATTGTTCAACACATCTGGTTTAAGATCCTAAGCTAAACATAGGTGTTGACGACATTTTAAGAATACAACATTATAGGTATGAGCACAAAAATGTATTCATTGTTCACTTGTTTGTAATTAATAATGCACCTGGCCTGACCTTCCTTACATCAGATAAGAAGTGTCTGCATAACTATGCAGCATTAAAATATAAATTGAATTACAGTTTGTACAAATACATCAGTTACACTTAAACATAAAACAGTAACTGCTTGGTTATAATATGCTAGTTTATGCCGACTCATGTTTATTTTAAATAAACATGAGTTATTTAATATAAGGTTATAATTATATGTAAATATTGATATTACCATCAATCACTAGTTTTAAAATGACCACCTCAAGCGAAATTTTCATTAAACTAATTTAAACAACATATAATTATTTCATTTATACAGACATACGCTTCTTACTTTTTACATTTTAGAAGCCATGTTGTATAGTCATCGGCGATAGGATTTTCGAAAAAAATTTACCATCTTTTACTCCTAGTTAGCTTGTAACATTTGTAATGTTTTGTTTAATTTTTACTAAGTAAAACACTTTCTTATATTTTTAATGAGGATTTATGATTTTCTAACCACCCAGAATGACTGCGACTTAGTCGAATACCACGAAAAATAGAAAATAATAGTTTTTTTTATGCATACTATTTTTTAGGCATGGTTAGTTAAAAATACTTTGTTAGTTTACTTAAAAGAAAAAAAAAACATTCAAACCACTGTTTTCCATTATTATGTTTGCATTATTATTTTCTTTTGGCCAAAGGTATCCATACAAATATCAGTAATATTGCTTAGTATAAAGCATAACAAATGTTCACAACTTTATATTTATCTAGCAATAAATAACTATAAATTACAATCAATTGGTAACTAAACATTCACAAATTATCGTTGTGTACATCGTCATCAGGTTAAGTGAACTATTCTTAGTTTGAAAGTAATAAGTTGCTTATAGATTCCAAAAAGAAATTAATCAAGAGAAAACAAGAGAGTGCACTTAAGGAAGTGATTCACTTAACCAAAAGAAGCGGGGAGAGAGTCGGTTCGCCATAAACAAGCTGAACAACAGAAGAAGCACCGACGCGAGCTGCTCAGCAAGTGGTCTTGGACAGTGTTAGTGAGTGTGCCACACACATACACACTACACGCACACCAGAGTTAGAGTAACACACATACACACTACAGCGAGTGTCACACACATAAACATACACTGAAAGTAGTATCTCATACACACTGCCTAATGAATGATGCAAAAATAAGTACTGTATAATGCAACTTATAAACTATTTTAATGAATCATCTCGATTAGTTTATAAAACCAGCTGTGTGACATTGTAAAATTAAAAGCATTTGAAACACAAACGTTATATATTTTCTTATTGTTGCTACGAATGCTAATGAAAAATAAGACTCATAAGCTTAATACTGCGAAGGCTAAGGGCAAAGCCACAAATCAACATTTCAAAACCTCAATAAGCTTATGTTTTATTCCAGACTATAATTTAAATCTATTCCAAATTGCTTACGATTCTAAACCACAGTTCGGGTGAGATTGAGTAACAACGATTGGTGCAAAAATCTATCCAAACTTCCAAATTTATGATTAGGTAAACAAACAATTATTTACATCTTTTCTGCTATCTATCTTGACTTAACCTGTAAGTTGAGTTTATTTACTATCCTACTATTGTTACTTCCCAGGTCCCGGGTGTGAGGTCCCGGGATCAAATCCCGCAAAATCACCAATTTATTTTATCTAAGTGATAACGCCACAACCCCTTGGTCTAGCCCGAACTAATGCAAAAAACAATCCCGGGCTCGTGCCTAAAGTCCTAGGAATAAAAAACTATTGTTACTTCATGTACCTATGTAGGTATGCGGTGATGGATTTACTCCAGATAGTTATTGGTATTACAGTATAAAAAATTCACTGCTTAAAGTATTTGATACACAGATGTTTAGAGACCAAGTGAATATTTTATTGTTGCATATAACTATTTTAATGTAATATATTTAACAGTTGCTGTTGTTAAACAGCATTTTTACATTTTTGGTCTTCATAAAAAGTATGTACTCTGTCATTAAAAGAGTTAGGGTGCGAAGCAAAGAAAACACCATCTGTTGACACAAGGAAGGTATCATGCTTGATATAATACAACTTAAAACTTGTTTTAAACATTTAACCACTAGTCGTTTTCAAAACTGAAAACGTTATCTGGAAAATCTCTTAAGACGGATACTTTGTAAAAAATGTTATAAATTTAACTTTAATTTATAATTTCTTGTGATTTATAGTATATATATATTGGTACGATTTTTTTTAGTTTAAAGTAATTATGGAATTAGAATATTGGCCTAATAAATGCAATTGCAAATAGAAAAAAAATACAATTACAATTCTTTCGCATTTCTAATAATGTATAAGCTATTTTATACAACATAACTAAACCAAACCATTGAAAAATAGAAATTTCTTTCACTACAATACACAGTGTATAACTCACATACGCGATCTTTATTTTACGGTGTATCCCCCGTCCCCACACATCCCACACATCGTGCTTCAGCGACGTAAACAAAATAAATTGATTAATGAGTCAATCTTTTAAATATAAACCAGTGTTAGTCAGGCCAATATAAAAGTATCGGTTCTACGGTGCGCATTAACTGTCTACATTTAAAACACCAACACAAGTTTTAACGGGGATAAAAAAGAGTAGTCATTTTAGTAATTATTATTGAAGTGTTTATTTTTCCTCCCACTTGACCACGTAATATTATCATCCAAATAGTATTATTTTTATTACCGTTAAAAAGGCATTTATATAATTAGGAATCGTTATAAACCATGAAAAACCCTTAATAATATTTTCTTATAATTAATTGTTATCATTATAATTCTCATAAATTAATGTTTACCATCGTAAAACCATTCCGACACGGATATTTCATTTGAAGCAGTTAAAAGACAAAAAAACATTGATATTCAATTTAAACTGAAAAAAAAAAAATTTACAAACCTGGTAAACGGCTTGGGGTCCTCTGTCCCATGTGGCCGTGCACTTCACCACCACACAGTCACTTCACTGTCACATGCTGCAGAAACCTGCAGCTGCCGCACACTGCCGCGCTCGGACCAAGACTGAGCCATCGGGGAAAGTGTTGCGGCCCACATCCCCTTCAAGTAGGTCTAACACCCCTACCATACTCTGGACCAAGGCTACTGATAAGACGATAACTAGTAACACACATCTGCTTAGTAATACAATCTACGTCCCCTTTAAGTAGATCTAACACCCCTACAGAGCTCTGGACCAAGGCTACTGATAAGACGATAACTAGTAACACACATCTGCTTAGTAATACAATCTACGTCCCCTTCAAATAGATCTAACACCTCTACCATACTCTGGACCAAGGCTTACTGATAAGACGATAACTAGTTACACACATCTGCTTAGTAATACAATCTACGTCCCCTTCAAGTAGATCTAACACCCCTACCATACTCTGGACCAAGGCTACTGATAAGACGATAACTAGTAACACACATCTGCTTAGTAATACAATCTACGTCCCCTTCAAGTAGATCTAACACCCCTACCATACTCTGGACCAAGGCTACTGATAAGACGATAACTAGTAACACACATCTGCTTAGTAATACAATCTACGTCCCCTTCAAGTAGATCTAACACCCCTACCATACTCTGGACCAAGGCTACTGATAAGACGATAACTAGTAACACACATCTGCTTAGTAATACAATCTACGTCCCCTTCAAGTAGATCTAACACCCCTACCATACTCTGGACCAAGGCTACTGATAAGACGATAACTAGTAACACACATCTGCTTAGTAATACAATCTACGCCCCCTTCAAGTAGATCTAACACCCCTACCATACTCTGGACCAAGGCTACTGATAAGACGATAACTAGTAACACACATCTGCTTAGTAATACAATTTACTTCAAGTAGATCTAACATCCCTACCAAGCTCTGGACCAAGGCTACTGATAAGACGATAACTGGAAACACACATCTGCTTAGTAATACAATCTACGCCCCCTTGAAGTAGATCTAACACGCCTACCATAGTCAGATACAAGATACAAGATACAAGAATACTTTATTTGCAATCTTTAAGATTGAAAGGGCGTCAATACAGTTGTGCAGTTGTTATATAAAAGTCAATACAAATTGTTATTTTTTAAGAATAAAAAATAGCTGATCAGAGTTCTTACAGTGAAGACATGATTTATTCAAGTTCTTGCCAAGACAAATACTCATCCAGGCTATAAAATGGTCTATGTAACAGCCAGCACTTTAGTTCTTTCTTCAGTTTTCTAGGTTGAAGAGACTTCAAGTGGACGGGAAGGACGTAAAAAAACTTGGCACGCATGTATGAGGGTTTCTCTTCATAGAGCTTTGTGTTGTGAGCAGGAAGGTTGTAATCATTTCTTCGTCTTGTGTTGTATGAGTGCACCTCCTGATGACGACAGGCTCGGGAAGAGTCGACAATGATAAGAGTCCGTAGTATGAAGAGGTTGACTACGGTCAGGATTTTTAACCTCCTAAACTCTGGTCTGCAACTATCTGTTGTCTCAATGCCAGTCAGGGTTCGAACAGCCCTCTTTTGCATGATTAGAACTCTGTTAAGGTTCTGTGCCGAAGGTCCACCCCACACTACAATGCAATAACAGAGAATACTCTCAAGAAGGGCATAGTATGCTGTTAGTGCCGCCTCTTCTGTGCTCACAGCCATTGTTCTTCTCAGGGCAAAAATTGCGGTGCTTAGCTTATGGCAGAGTGCTTCAATGTGTTCGTCCCAAGCGAGATGTTCGTCAATGATGACACCTAGATGTCTTAAAGAGCTAACAGAGTCAATGTCGGGAATACAGCAGACGAAACTTTTCCTGTTGCTAAACAGGGCGAAGGCTACTGATAAGACGACAACTAGTAGCACAAATCTACTGAGTAGTACCATCCACACCCCATTTAAGTAGGTCTGACACTCCTACTAAGCTCTGGCTTAATGCTGCTGATTAGACGATACCAAGAAACACACATCTGCTGAGTAATACCAACCACGCCCCCTTCAAGTAGGTCTGACACTCCTACCAAGGTCTGGATTAATTCTGCTGATAAGACGATAACTAGTAACACACATCTGCTTAGTAATACAATCTACGCCCCCTTCAAGCAGATCTAACACTCCTACTATAGTCAGGGCGAAGGCTACTGATAAGACGACAACTAGTAGCACAAATCTGCTGAGTAGTACCATCCACACCCCATTTAAGTAGGTCTGACACTCCTACCAAGCTCTGGACCAATTCTGCTGATAAGACGATATCAAGAAACACACATCTGCCGAGTAATACTAACCACGGCCCTTTAAAGTACTGTAGGTCTAACGCCCCTACCATGGTCAGGGCAAATGCTGCTGATAATACGACGCCTAGAAACACACATCTGTTAATTAATACCGTCTACGCTCCCTTAAATAAGGTCTAACACCCCTACTATGGTCAGGGTGAAGGATGCTGTTAAGATACACCTCGAATCACACATCTGCTTGGTAATACCATTGAATTTTGGATGAATAAGTTATATCAACAGTCTGAAGTAAAATCATTACACTTTCCTTTCAAGTAGGTTTGGCTGGCACATCTAAGACTATCTTGATCATGTCCGCTGGCTGGAACAATACTATTCCTGCCTCCACAAATACCTTTTTTCATTTACTATTAATGTTATTAAAACATTTTTCGATTTGAGTAAAATACATCAAAAACTATATTATCAGTGGATGTATTTATGTAATATATTTTTATAAGTCAAGAAAAATCACCATTTATTCCCAAAAGATCTGTGCATTGTAAAATAATTTCACTAAACGAGAGGTGTGAAGGTAAAGTAAAGAAGCAAAAGTGGAGAAAACTAGTTCTCATTTTACGGAAACTCCACCACTAACCGAGCTGGCCACACGAGCGCGACCGGGAGCTTAATTGTGGTCCGGCTGGCTGCACGTGAAACCTCTAGCCCTCAGTAGATATACACACGTTAGAACCTCTAGCCCAAAGAAGATATACACATTACACACGTTACAAATCTCTAGTCCACATATTAGATGTACGCACGTTAGCAAACCTATCCACAGTTGTACATGTACACACGTCAGCAAACTATAGTCCACAGTAGTTGTACTATGTTAGCAAACCTGTATTTCACAGTAGATACACACTTAGCAAGTCTACAGTAAAAGTACACACGATAGCAATCATCTAGTTCAAGCTAGATACATGCACGTTAGCAAACCTCTAGTCTATAGTAGTTAACCTGTGTACATCTACCGTACACCAGAGGATTTCTTAAGTGTGTAAAATGTACATCTACTGTAGGCTAGAGGTTTGCTAAGGTGTGTATATCTACTGTGGACTAGAGGTTTGATGCGTCGTCTTTGAAATATGTTTAACAATCATGAGAGAAAAACAATTTTTGCCTCATGAGGATAATATTTGAAGAAATTTCTATTTATTCTTAGTTTACATGCTACAGCTTCGAAATTCGTTAGCCATAGTCCACTTGATGTTTCTTGAAAGGGTGCGACTTTGTTTCCAATCCGATTAAATAACACACTCCGTATACGATGACAATTTTAGTTTGTATTATTACAACAACAAAAGTTCATTGTGTATACACTTTTTAAATTATATACACTATTTCAGCTATTTAAAGGGATTACATAAAATATCATTCAATTCTCAGACAGTGAATTTTGTTAAGTAAATCCATGAATGTTTTGTTTGTACCTCTAGACAAAACAGCCTAGAACCTAAAACCATTATTCTTCATCTTCAAAGAAACCACTTTCCACAGTCACATAAAATTTAATAAAATTGCAATAAAGTGAAGCTCCTGGGAAACCTGTAAAAGAGAAACTGGCTGACTCAGCATAGGCCTACTGCGACTGGGATGAGGATGTGCGAGTGGATCTCTGATGGTGAATTGGGCATCCATGCGACTTGTCGGTGTAGGACGAGAAAATGTGGGCTATGTCATATTGCGAGTGAATCTCTGATGACAAAGTGGCTATCACCACATTGCGACTTGTCGGTGTAGGACGAGAGATTGTGGGCTATGTCATAGTGCGAGTGAATATCTGATGACGAAGTGGCTATCACCACATTGCGACTTGTCGGTGTAGGACGAGGAAATGTGGGCTATGTCATAGTGCGAGTGATCTCTGATGATGAAGTGGCTATCACCACAGTGCGATTTGTCGGTGTAGGACGAGGAAATGTGGGCTATGTCATAGTGCGAGTGATCTCTGATGATGAAGTGGCTATCACACAGTGTGACTTGTCGGTGTAGGACGAGAGATTGTGGGCTATGTCATAGTGCGAGTGAATCTCTGATGACGAAGTGGCTATCACCACATTGCGACTTGTCGGTGTAGGACGAGGAAATGTGGGCTATGTCATAGTGCGAGTGATCTCTGATGATGAAGTGGCTATCACCACATTGTGACTTGTCGGTGTAGGACGAGAGATTGTGGGCTATGTCATAGTGCGAGTGAATCTCTGATGACAAAGTGGCTATCACCACATTGCGACTTGTCGGTGTAGGACGAGGAAATGTGGGATGTGTCATAGTGCGAGTGAATCTCTGATGATGAAGTGGCTATCACCACAGTGCGACTTGTCGGTGTAGGACGAGGAAATGTGGGCTATGTCATAGTGCGAGTGATCTCTGATGATGAAGTGGCTATCACCACAGTGTGACTTGTCGGTGTAGGACGAGAGATTGTGGGCTATGTCATAGTGCGAGTGAATCTCTGATGACGAAGTGGCTATCACCACATTGCGAATTGTCGGTGTAGGACGAGGAAATGTGGGATGTGTCATAGTGCGAGTGAATCTCTGATGACGAAGTGGCTATCACCACAGTGCGACTTGTCGGTGTAGGACGAGGAAATGTGGGATGTGTCATAGTGCGAGTGAATCTCTGATGATGAAGTGGGTATAACCACCGTGTTACTCGTCAGTGTGGGACGAGGAAATGTGACATTGTGGAGTCATCTTAGTTACAGTTTGGGTGTATATTGGATAAGAACGTGAGCCAAATAA